AAAGTTCCAGGGGGGGGGGGGGTGGTGGTGGTGGTGGTGGTGGTGGCTGTAGTCTATTGCAACCCTCCTACCTACCCCTCTGCAGAAGAAATCGGCGAGTTGGTCCAGAACGGATTCCGGGCAGTGGTTGGAGTCCACCCTAAGATCATATTAACGCCACAGGAAACTGAGCACCTCACACGGCTCTTGACCCTACCTGGCGTGGCTGGATTAGGGGAGATCGGGATCGACCACACAGTTGACCAGTGGCATTACCAGGAACGGCAGCTCAAGGCTTTGCTGACGTTATTGGACCCAAGCAAAGTGCTGGTGCTCCACATACGAGGAACCCGGACCGACTCCACAGGCCTAGAGGCCTACATGAGATGCTTGGATATTCTGGAACATCGAGTGTGCAGTGACCAGAAGATTCTGCTTCACGGGTCCGGAGAGTGTAGTCTGGGACTAGTTAGCCCTGTTCCCAAACACCTACTTCAGTGTCGGGACTGGTTTTCCAGTTTAACGAAAACCAGCGGCGAGCTTTGAGGGCCATCCCACAAGATCATCTCCTGGTGGAAACGGATGCTACATACTTTCCAGTCAGGAAGGAATTCCGTGCAGTGCCCCGCATCTGCTTGACGTCGCCGCCAAGAGAATCAGCGAATTGCTGGGTGGCATAAGCATGGCAGATATTCTTAAACTGACTGAAAGAAATGTCAAGAGTTTCTTCCAGTGGAGTTTATCTCGGACCCGGAAAGAGGTCAGTATACCCAAAGAAGGGTACTGGAACCGGGGAAGGTTCCAATAGTGAAGGTCCCCTCTTGACCAGGAGTGAGTCAGAAGATAGGACAATAATCTATATATATGTTTAGGGGGCGGGTGGATATATGGAGATCTCTAGGGAAATAATTGGAATTTAGGCCAGGAATCCAGTGCCGGGGGTTTTCAAAATATAACGGGGGAGAGTGTGGTGAAATTGGCTTTTTTCACAAGCATCCAAGTGACCGGGACGCTCCCTTGGACCGGGATTACCCAGGATTCCCTGGCCTCTTATGCATGAACAATTGAACGAACTACACATGCGAAACACCCAGCAATACAACATACATTCTTAGATCCAAGGACCCGGAGCTGACCTGGAGTTCCTTGGGAAACTATCCTGAAGAGCGTACCAGCACTCGGGGTGAGTGTCACACCACACAATAGTCGGTTTTTACCATACTGATATGGGTCATAGCACACAAACATATATCAGACATTTGTAACAAACCCCTGCTAGTCACTGGAAAACAAAGTCAGTGATATGGTTTGACATTTTAACCAAAAGTTAGACATCAGAAGTAATAACTTTTGTGTACACATATATATATAAACTTTATTTATTTTACAACAATTATGAAACAGGTTATTTCAACTTATATTAATCACTCTTGTTGGCCCGGTTGTTAGCGCGTGGGGAGTCTTATTGTGGGAGGAAACCGGAGTACCTGGAGAAAACCTACGTGGTTGGGCAGGTGACCCCAACCTTTTCACGTCCGATCGGGGAATCGAACCCTGGCCGCCTTGTTGAAAGACAAGTGCGCTATCCACTGCACCACCCGACCACATGATCCACATTGTATTATTTGCCAGATTATGTTGAAAAAAATGACACCGTCTTTTTATCCTGGTTTGGTGTGTTTTCATTTCACTTTATTCCCATAATTTCAGTGAAAAATTGTTACTGCAAAATGGGTAACTGTTACCCTAATGCAGGATTATTACCCGTATGTGCTGTTGTGCCATACCTGATTAAGGCACAGTGGGATGAACATAACTGACTTAATGGATAGAGGACATATTTACAATTAGAACAAGCTGCTGTAGTAGAAGGCGAGAGGTCCAGTTACGAGGGTGTCATGCCTGGTGTTTCACAAGGATCAGTTATTAGCCGATCACTATTTCAAAAGATGTGCATTCATTAGGTTGCCTTACAAGCGTCGGCTGTAGGGAATTTCCCTTTAGCTCAGCGGTAGAGCATCGGACTGGAGAGCCAAGGGTCGCGGGTTCAAGCCCCTTTGACGGCGCTATCTTTATCACTATTTCTCGTCTTATTACACTTTCCTTTTTACAAGTCAATCAAGCAAAGTCAATTTTGTTTATTATAGTGTCATATATCACAAATACATTGTACAAGTATATAGTAAGACAGTATAACAACATAAATTTACATAGCAGGGATCAGTCATCTTATTGAAAAATATATAGACATGATATCATAATTTTGTTAAGAACAGTTATAATACGTAATATATTAATAAATTAAAAGAAAGAATCACAGGTTCCAATCCAGAGAGCAGGTGATTGGGACAGCCCCTACCTAACAGTAACAAGCTGTCTGGAGTTTGTACTTATATACTATAATAAATAAAAGGTTTCTTTTACATCAACTGCATTAAAACATGATGTCTTTAAAAAATAAATAAACAATAGTGATAAATAAAATACATAAATATAATATAGATATAATTTTCTAGTTCTACCTTGTAGTGAAAGTAAGGTTTCCGAGGACTGGGGAGCCCCCACCAGTGAGGTCTGTTAAATTCACACTATTTAGTAGCTAATCATGATTTAAACGAAATGAAAAAGTAAGGACAAAACATAAAAAAGATGAGATGGCAGATGTCCTTGTGCCATATCCTGGCATGCACCATATCAACCAAGCAATTTAGCATCTTATCTGGTTTGCAAGTGTTATTTCTGTTTAAATTCTGGTTAAACACCTTTCAGATGAAACTTAAATGCTTTAAGTTTATATGGGTATAAAACATTCACTAGTTCTGATTACCCGAGCAATCAATATTCAAAACATTTTGTATTTACTTTGTATATAAATGGCCACAACTTCTCCTTTCTTTTCCAGCATCCCCCGGGAGAAAGGTGCATAGATATCGACCAGGAACTAGAGCCTTGATGGAAATTCGTCGATATCAAAAGTCAACTGATTTACTGCTTCGTAAACTTCCATTTTCTCGAGTGGTATGGGTATTTATTATTTAAATAAATTATGGTTCTTGAAATAGACTTAGGTAAAACATGCAGCTGATTGACTTTTACTGTCTATATTTATTGCTTTTTATCAAATATGTTGTCCGCTTTTGTCATGAAAACTGAAAAGAGATTTGTTCTGCTAATATGACAAAACTGTATGTATATTCCAAGCTGAAGTTATACTACAAACTGTATGTATCCAGGAGGTAGTTAACTTTCGGTTTAAGTGGTGCCGTGACCAACCCTTGTTTCAAATACTAGGTGAATGCTTGGCAAGGGGAGACCCAAACCTGGGTTGTAAATACTAAAATAGTTGTGTCTTCAGGGGTGAAGACTTTGTTACAGGTATGAGGAATTGGACTGGGTAGGAGACCAGCTAGCTCAATTGGTAGAATACCTGTCTAGAAATTAGAGTGTCCTGGGTTTGAATCCCGGTCTGGCTTTGCTTTTTCCTTTCTTGTTACATACAAATGTAGTTATACTCCAAACTGTAAGGATATCCCAAACAGTATCTATACTCCAAACTGTAAGGATATCCCAAACAGTATCTATACTCCAAACTGTAAGTATATCCCAAACAATATCTATACTCCAAACTGTAAGGATATCCCAAACAGTATCTATACTCCAAACTGTAAGGATATCCCAAACAGTATCTATACTCCAAACTGTAAGGATATCCCAAACAGTATTTTTACTCCAAACTATAGGTACAGGTATGCAATCTAAACTGTAGGTACAAGTGTAAGCCCCATGGTTCTTGCTTTATGTTCATCAAAACAAAATATATATAGTATTTATTTTATATTAATTTGAAATATTTTGATCTGTTTAATTTAGGTTCGCGAGATAGTACAAAACAAACATCCTGGTTTACAATTGCGATGGGAAGCCACAGCCATCATGGCTCTTCAGGAGGTGAGTAAATGTTGTCATGTCTGTGTAGGAGGTGGGTATACATCGTAGTGATATGGCTCTTCAGGAGGTGAATAAACGTTGATATCATGTCTGTGTATACATTATAGTGATATCATGTCTGTGTAACAGGAGGGTATACATTATAGTGATATCATGTCTCTGTAGCAGGAGGGTATACATTATAGTGATATCATGTCTGTGTAGCAGGTGGATATACATTATAGTGATATCATGTCTGTGTAACAGGAGGGTATATATTATAGTGATATCATGTCTGTGTAACAGGAGGGGATACATTATAGTGATATCATGTCTGTGTAACAGGAGGGTATACATTAAAGTGATATCATGTCTGTGTAGCAGGTGGATATCCATATATAGTGATACCTTGTCTGTGTAGCAGGTGGGTATACATTATAGTGATACAATGTCTGTGTAGTAGGTGGATATCCATATATAGTGATACCTTGTCTGTGTAGCAAGTGGGTATACATTATAGTGATATCATGTCTGTAGCAGGTGGATATACATTATAGTGATATCATGTCTGTAGCAAGTGGGTATACATTATAGTGATATCATGTCTGTAGCAGGTGGATATACATTATAGTGATATCATGTCTGTGTATACATTATAGTGATATCATGTCTGTGTAGCAGGTGGATATACATTATAGCGATATCATGTCTGTGTAGCAGGTGGATATCCATATATAGTGATACCTTGTCTGTGTAGCAGGTGGGTATACATTATAGTGATACAATGTATGTGTAGTAGGTGGATATCCATATATAGTGATACCTTGTCTGTGTAGCAAGTGGGTTTACATTATAGTGATATCATGTCTGTAGCAGGTAGATATGCATTATAGTGATACCATGTCTGTGTAGCAGGGGGATATACATTATAGTGATACAATGTCTGCGTAGCAGGTGGATATACATTATAGTGATATCATGTCTGTAGCAGGGGGATATACATTATAGTGATACAATGTCTGCGTAGCAGGTGGATATACATTATAGTGATACAATGTCTGTGTAGCAGGTGGATGTACATTATAGTGATACCATGTCTGTGTAGCAGGTGGATATGTACATTATAGTGATATCATGTCTGTGTAGCAGGTGGATATCCATATATAGTAGTGATATGGATAATCAGAAGATGATTATACATAAAATTATGATCAGTAATTTCATTGCCTATTTTTACATTATACAGAAGCAGAAAAGTGCTTTATTTACCATTTTCATGTAAGAAGAGGTTGTAAAATTAAGGGGATATAACATATATATAAACACACTGGTTATTATGATTCTTGATCAGACTACCTGGTTGTTAAAATGTTAGTTTATCACAGAAATATCCTGTTACAAGTGTCATTATATCCATTACATTAGCTGTGTTATGATCACATTTGATACCGCCTGGTGATGTTGTAATGGTAGGTCTATTATATCCAGTAGAAACCGTTTCCTTGATTCTGTGACACTGGTCATTACTTTCCACAGGCTTCCGAGGCCTACCTGGTGCATTTGTTTGAGGACGCCAACCTGTGTGCTATACATGCCAAACGAGTCACAGTAATGCCTAAAGATATCTGGCTGGCTAGGAAGATACGTGGAGCTTCTGATTAACACCTCCGACACAGGAGAGTGAATAGGAACATCAAACTGGATACCGATTGGTTTATCATTACAAAACATTTGTTCCATATACTATTTTATCCATGTTACTTGTATAACAACAGCATAGAGTGGACACGGTATTAGACATACACACAATGTTGATAACACATGTAAAGCCAATTTAAAAAACATAACTTTTTATTATCTTTTGTCCTGACCTCTGTTGACCTTCAGTCACGATAAGTCTGGGGCCTTGTGTTTTTGACCTGTAGTGTGTGAAGCCTAACCTGAATGACCTGTACATGTGGTTTCAGTCGGGATAAAACTATTTGAATTCATTAATGGCTTGTACATTCTTTTTTTTAACATTTTAAAGTGGCAGCTTATTACAATTATAGCATTATAGATATATTGTCTTAAATCAGAAGAAGCAATCTTGAGTGATTGTGCTGATAGTAAGGGTCTAGGTTATCCATACATGCTTAGTGACCAAGATTTGTAAATATTAGAACAGGTCAGTGTTTTAAGGGGATGAAATTAATTGTGATACAGACACATGGGAATGTGAAGGCAGAAATAACACATTGGCATACAATAAAATGTAGCTGTGTGAAGGTATACCAACACTAATATGTGAAGGTGTACCAACACTAATTTGTGAAGGTGTACCAACACTAATTTGTGAAGGTATACCAACACTAATATGTGAAGGTATACCAACACTAATATGTGAAGGTGTACCAACACTTATATGTGAAGGTATACTGGCTATTATGTGAAGGTGTACCAACACTAATATGTGAAGGTACATTGGCTATTATGTGAAGGTGTACCAACACTAATATGTGAAGGTACACTGGCTAATATGTGAAGGTATACCAACACTAATATGTGAAGGTATACTGGCTATTATGTGAAGGTGTACCAACACTAATATGTGAAGGTACACTGGCTATTATGTGAAGGTGTACCAACACTAATATGTGAAGGTACACTGGCTA